GACGCCTCCGCAGGAGCAGATGCCAGTGTCATGCTTCCTGTGCAGCCTGCAGAACCATGAGCCAATTCAATCTCTTTTCTTAAAAATTACCCAGTCTCGGGTATTTCTTTATGGCAATGCAAGAACAGCCTAATACAGTGGCCAAACACAAAAGAAGTTTATTTCCCTTCCAGTCTGGGCATGATGCCTCACTGTAATCCTAGCACCTTTGGGAGGCCTAGACAGAAGGCTCGCTTGAGCCCAGGAGTACGAGGCTGCAGTAAGCTATAGTCACTCCATGGCATTCCAACCGTGGGTGACAGAGCAAGATCCTGTCTCTTAAAAGGAAAAAAGAAAAATCAAAGCAAGTTTTCTCTCAATCGGTGATTCAGGAACCCAAGCTTCTTTGAGTTTATCCCCCTACTAACCACTAGGAGGAGGATGTAGGGATGAAAGTGGGAAAGGTACCAGGAAAGTGGGCTAATTTTTAAAACCCTTGGCATAGAAGTAACATACATCACTTTCACTCACGTTTCATTGGTAAGGACAAGTCACGTGACCATATCTAGCTGCAGAGTGTTGAAAAATACAGTCGCTAAATAAACAGCCACCTCCCAGCAGCAATTCTGTAGAAAAGGAAAGGGAGAACTCACATTTTTTTGTTTTGTTTTGTTTTTGGACAACTAGCCAATTCCCCCTAAGCAGCTATGAATGTGCCTCACTCTTGCCTCCACTGATTTTCTTCCCCAGTCCCAGAAGGCCCTTCTCTCTTCTCATTGCCCATCCACACCTCAGCACCCTCCTGGTAATTCACCTCCACCAGAATTCCCAGTAAAAAGTTTCCCATCATTTATGTTCGGGTGTAGCTAAAATAACTTTCCTCAAGAGTTTGTTGTTTCCTTGAGGATATTTTTAATGATCATTATGACGTTAAAGAACAAGAGTTGCTCTTCTGCAGTTAATCAAAAGGAAAAAATAAACTGATTGCATTTTTAAAGTTTGATTAAAGACTTACTAGAGTTAAGTATCCCATCAGATTTGTTTACAAAAAATTAACAAATAAATAGACAAAGTAAATAGGTAACAGAAGGTGCCTAAAATAATTAACATCTCAACATTAAAACCTAAGTGTCCTCCTGAAATGAATTAATACTTTCTAAAATCATCTCTAGCTCCTGCGATCTAAAGTGAGTTATTGAGGTGATCTGTGTGGTCTAAAATCTATTAAAACTAACAATGTGAAAATAGCATAAAGAATGACCCATTTACCATTGCAAGCAGTAGGAAACTGACCCAAACGAGCTTAAACACAAAGGGAACTTATTGTTTCCCATAAGATGAAAAGTCCAGGGGTAGAATAACTTTCAGATGTGGCTGAATCCTGAGTTCAACCAATGTCATCAGGACCATTTTTCTACATCTCTTGGCTTTGTGTCATAACGGGATGGCCACAATGGTTCTAATCCCTACACCCTCCTTTAGGTCCCACAGATAAAATTAAGAGTTGCCTAATGATGAAAACATCATTGTGATTCATTAACTATGAGTTGACTATGACTTATCTCAATTCTCTAGAGGGGTTTGAGGAAGCTCAATGTCCCATTCCGGTTTGGAGCCAGTTGAGAGAAAGATCCAGGAGCCAAGTAGAGAAGCATTAAAATGTCAGCCTTACTCATGGCTTTAGGTCTGCCAACCAAATGAGCTTGCTAATTCCCAAATTAGATGGACCTGCCCGATCACAGACATGCAGTCTCCCATGGGGGTCTGCTCCTGTGATGTACAGCATTGAGGAGCATAGAAGGCTGTCTGCACACTGGTAGGTCACTAAGAGAAAACAGAAAGGGACTGAGAGTCAGCTACTGTACCCAAACTCACTCATCAGCTAGCTCACTCTTCCTCCCTTGAGGGGAAAAGAAAAGTGGGATACAGGGAACCAAGGAGATGGGAGTGTTGTTCTGAAAAAGTCCATACACACAGAAACAGAAGAATAGGGAATGTCTCCTCCCAGCCTATAACAGAACAGAAAATGATAACAACAGATGTCAACTACAAGTAGAAAATGAGACTTAACTTTTAAATACACAGAGTAAAACATATACAACCAAATGGTTAGAGTGCTCAGCATTTTTAGTTATGAAAACATATTTCTCTCACCTGCCATGGAGACCCCATAATACCCTTGAGATACTACAGTTCACAGTGGTTGCCATTATCTGATTTAGCATTTTCCTACAGGTGAAAGATAAGGGTCTTAGTCCCAGCTGCTGTAACAAAGTAGTGTAGCCTGGGTGGCTTACAAACAACAGAAATTTCCCACCATTCTGGAGGCTGAAAGTCAGAGATCAGGGCGCCAGCATGGTGAGGTGCTGGCAAAGACTCTCTTCCAGATCGCAAACTGCCAATTTTATGTTGTATTCTCCCAAGGTGGCAAGCAGAGGAACTAGGCCTCCTGCCTCTTTGTATGAGGCACTAGTCCCATTCTTGAGGGTTCTTTCCTCATGACCTGATTACCTCCCAAAGGCCTCACCTCCAATCCATCGCATTAGGGATTAGATTTCAGCATATAAATTTGAGAGGGACAAAAATATCCAGTGCATAACACCAAGTATAAAAGTGGACTTAATTTATGTTTCTGCTCTAGGATGAAGTAGGAATGAGTAACCAGAAGAATACAGTTGACAGTTTAGGAAAGAGATTCAAACAAAATAAATAGGAAATTCATACTGATCTGGATCTGACTCTAGAATGTAAGCTCCATGAGAAAAACTCCCTTGTCTGCACCACTGTATTTCTCCCCAGTGCCTAGACTCGGGCCTCTGGCATATAGTAAAGGTTCAATAAAATTTGCAGAATGAGTTAGGAAGGGAAGCTTTGAAATCAGAAAAATAAAATCTTTTGGGGGTTTAGTGGTCACAAAAGAACAGTGTCACTTGGGATTGAAGATAATAATTTGATCCTAACTAAAATGATCCTACCTCATGCTGGTGAAAGAGAATCTAGTGGACCTAGAAGAGCTCAAGAATTAGGGGAAGCTAGGCACAGTGGCTCAGGCCTATAATCCCAACACTTTGGGAGGCTGAGGTGGGAGGATCGCTTGAGCCCAGGAGTTCGAGACTAGCCTGGGCAGCATAGGGAGGCCTCCCCTCTACAAAGAAATTAAAATAAAAAAATTAAAATTTTAGAAAAACAATTAGGAAACCAGAAAATATCTGAAATGACAAGAATCTTTGAGGTAATTTAATGTAGTAATTCCCAACAAAAAACAGCTATACACTAGAAACACCTGGGGAGTTGTTTGTTTGTTGTTTTTAATTCTGATAGGCAGACCCCGCTTCCTAAGATTCTGACCCAGACACCTGTAACCTACAATAGGAGGAATAGCAGAGAAGAGGGGCAGCCTGGAGTCAGGCCCGGGTCTAATTCCCTTTGTCCCCTAGGGTGCCTAACACAGACCATGTTTTCTGACTACAACCAAGTAAAGAACAGAGAACTATCACAGGAGAACCCACAACCTGGTCACTTGGGTGTCCCTGGAAGCCCTCTTGGGAGAGGGGTGGAGGAGTGACACCTTCTGGTTACACCCAACCTATTTTATCCCCATGTTCTCCAAGAGTGTATCAGATGACTTGAGTCTGTCCATTTCAAACAAGACTTCCTCAAAAACATTCTACAAACCATCACCCAACGAGGATGGTGAAAATTTTGATTTTGAAATGTCAGTGGGACCCAGCAGGCCCTCGCAGCAGCTGAGGGGCTGTAGGATGTGCGGCGTGATGTTCACGGCGGTGCGCTCACAGCACCTTCCCTTGGCAGAGGCCGAAACCTCTCCCATGCCGCGCCGGCCGGTGGACCGATCCCGCCCAAGGAGCTTCTCACGGGACCTCTCAGCGTCACGGCGCGCAGAGCAGCCGGGGACGTCCGGGCAATCGGCCTCCCCGCCAGACGGAGCCGCGCACGTCCCGGCAGCTCACTCGCCCGGGCATGACCGGCCCGGGCAAAGGCCTCCGGAATGGGTGTTTCGGAGCTCCCCCTAGGAGGGGACGCCCCTGTCAGGCCGGTGCTGATGCGGCTGCGCGGCTGGCGTTTTCTTTCCGCAGTGTCAGCTTCGGGTCCCTCCTGGCCTCCCCTCGGCCGCCCGCGTGCAGGATCACAGCCCGGCCCGCCCCCGCGCCCCCCCCGCCCCCCCGCCCGAGGAGCTTCTTCCAAACGGCCGCTTGAAGGACAGCCCCGGGCCGGGCGCGGTGGCTCACGCCTGCAATCCCAGCACTTTGGGAGGCCGAGGCGGGCGGATCACGAGGTCAGGAGATCGAGACCATCCTGGCTAACACGGTGAAACCCGTCTCTACTAAAATACGAAAACTTAGCCGGGCGTGGTGGCACGCGCCTGTAGTTCCAGCTACTCGGGAGACTGAGGCAGGAGAATCGCTTGAACCGGGGAGACGGAGGTTGCAGCAAGCCGAGATCGCGCCCGCTCCAGCCTGGCAACGGAACGAAATTCAGTCCCAAAAAAAAAAAAAAAAAAAAAAAAAAAAAAAAAAAAAAAAAAAAAAGACAGCCCCACGCCAGCCGGCCTTCCTGGAACTGGAGCCACTCAAAGGGGCCAGATCCAACCCGGTGACGAGTCCTGGGAGCGGCCCGCTTCCCCACGACCCTCTCTCCGCCTCGCTTGGGCCTCCTACGGGCAGCGCCGGGGAGCTCCCACAGGACAAAGCACGTCACCAGTTCCTTCCCCCTTCTCTGCCTGCCTGGGCTTTGAAATACGGTGCGTGTTCCTACCGCGTTTTGGGCTCTGCTGGTGACAGCAGGGCTCTGGCTACCACGCCAAGGAGTCATGGCATTAATTATTCTCTCATCTGCGGGGAAAGGTGTGAGGGCTGCGCCCTGCAAAGCACATGGAATTGGAGTACAGTCAGCATTTACTCTCCAGGCTGAAAAACGGGGTGGGGGTGGGGGGTTCTCATTCAATTCCCTCACTCCTCCTGTGCCTTTTAACTAACTTTGAAATTCCTCTGGCTGCTGGTGCCTCCGTGCTGTTTCCAAGGGCTGGAGCCCCACACTGATTTATTTGGTAACCATCACAGGAATTTCAGAAAATGAGAACTGGAGGAGGAAGCGAGGCCTGAAGTAATTAAGATGATTTGTTACACGCGATTCAGGTAGGCACTAAGGGGTACCTGAACACAGAGAGAATATAAGATCAAAGGAAAGGCAGTCCCGAAAGTGGGAGCTCTTCGCAAAAGGAAAACAGGCCAGGGGAAGGTGCCCAGATCACTGCCAAATTAAAACACCCCGTATTTTTATCTTCACCCAGAGATAAAACAGAGGTAGGTAAATTTTTATTCACATTTGCTTTCAGCAGTTAGCTTTCATAATTAAAAAAAAAAAAAAAAATTCAAATGTGTCTGCCATTTGTACAAGTTCACAAGATCTCCCTACCCGAAATCATTTGTCAGTGGATAACAGTGTGCTATTTAAGCCCCAGGAATGCAGCTGCAAGAGTGAACATTCCTTAGAAAGTACCTGTTCTTTACAAGCTTGTTAGTGACTCTTGAAAATCCTCTCTGTGATGGGATCTCATGCTCACTGGCATCCCACCAGGTCGCGGGATGTGGAGGGTGGCTTTAAAGAGGAGAGGGGCAGAGTGAGTGTGCATCCCGACACCCCCCCCCCACATTTCAAAAACCCAACTTGATCTTTTGCTGCGCAATTCTCCTGCAATGTTGATCCTCAAACACCAACCGTCTTATTATTTTCCAACACTATTTATGCCTCAGACCTTCTGCTATGTTGCCACAATACACTCATTCGTCTGTCTTCCCCATTAACTAACTTTATGGCCCCAGTGACCTACAGCAGTCACAGTCCTTCTCCTGGCTGATATTTCATCCAGAATTCCTCCTGGGCTCTGGAAGTTGCAGTTGTTTGGGAGTACGGTGACACAAGAACAGACCTGGAATTGGAATCCATGACTCTGGCAAAATGAAAACAAGCCTTTTTCATCTTCTTTCTCATCCCCTCTCCATAAGGTGACAAGGTGACATCAAGATTCCTTACACTCCTGAAATATCATTCTTATCTACTACAGAGACTATAGAGAAGACTTTAAGTGTGAGTAATAGCATTACAGAGTACTGTTTTGGTGTTTTTTTGAAACAGAGCCTTGCTCTGTCACCCAGGCTGGAGTGTAATGGCACCATCATGGCTCACTGCAGCCTTGACCTCCTGGGCTCAAGTGATCCTCCCACTTCATCCTCCTAAGTAGCTGGAACTACAGCCATGCACCGCCACACTCAGCTAATTTTGTTTTTCTTTTCTGCAGGGATGGGGACTCACTATGTTGCCTAGGCTGGTCTCAAACTCCTGGGTTCAAGCAATCCCCTTGCCTGGGCCTCCCAAAGTGCTGGGATTACAGGTGTGAGCTACTGTGCCCCGGCTAGAATGAATATTCTTTTCTTCTTCTAGAGCCTTCAGATGAGAGTGAATATTAAGCTTAGTATTTACAACACACCCAGAAGAACAGTACCTTCCGATAACCCATTCTAAAATGGAGAAGATACTGGATGGGGAAGGTAAGTAACTTGCCTTGGGTCACAGAAGGATATCTACCACCTCTGTGAATAAATACCTGATTTCCTTCCACGCCTGAGACTGTATTTACCTATGGCTACAGAGTTGCTGTGGAGACTAAACTGACACAGCAGTCAAGTACCCACTTGGTACTATTTTCATTGAATGAACTTTTGACAGAATTGCTTGGCCTGAATGAATGTTGCATTGTCTGAGAGTCCCCTGCAGTTTGATAGGGTTTTTTTCTTCTAAGAGGCCTCTGCCTGGGTGCTGATCTTGCTCCAGGCCTCCTAGAGGCCTGCACACTGCTGTGGGAGGACGGTAGAGGTACTGACCACAATTACAGAAGTAAGCAAAGTGACTTGTGCAGTGGTCTCCAACCCCCGATGCGGTCTCATCGCTTTGCTCTGAGGAGAGGGTTTGTTACATTCCTTCTCCCTTCAAACATTTTCAGAAATTCAAGCATCTCCAACAATGCTGCCATCCTCCACAAAAACCCCACAGAGCCGAGGTTAACTCCTCAACTCCAAAGGACAGGGAGATCACAGGACTTTTCCTTGAACCAGCCGTAATGCAGTTTCTTCTTGTGGTGGAGAGAGACAGTGTCTACAAAAGGCTGTCTCTCTGCTCCATCACTATTCCCCAAGCTGCAGCATGCACACAAACTACCTGGGCAGCTGGTTGAAATGTAGATTCTGTTTCAGCAGGACTGGGGGCCTGAGATTCTGCATTTCTAATAGGCTCCCAGGTGATACCTGTGCGGCCAGTCCTGACACTGTGAGCAGCCAGGAATTATTTACATGGATCTCTTTTCCTTGTGAACCCTTTGATGTTGCATTTTGACAAAGAAGTCCTGTAGAGACTAGAGGCTGTGGCCTCACCCCACTGCTATGGGTAGAAGTAGGGCTTTCCTGTGACAGAAAGAACTTCCCAAAGTCAATCGCCAGGGAAAGAGACCTTGAGACCACCCAGAAAGAAGGTGCCTCACCTGCTGCTGAACCAGCACTTCCACAGATGAGGCTTAAGCAGTCTCTTGGCATCAGGAACCCGCCACCTGGCAACATTCCACGAGTCAGACAGGCCAACATATGGGGCCATAAACTGAAGAAAAGTAAACTTTGCCTTGTAACCCTACCTGCATGTAGTTCCTTTTGTGGCCAGCCTGGCTCAGCTGTGAATCTAAGGAATTAAAAGAAGTTTCAAGTGTCCCCCAGCTTAGAACTGGAGAATTCATAATGAATTAGCACCCTCTGAAGCCAGCTTTCTGGGACCTGCAGAAATTAGCTAGAGATTCCAAGGGGAAGATTAATCTTGAGGAATAAGAGTTGAATCTTTTTTTTTTAATTGTACTTTAAGTTCTTGGGTACATGTGCAGATCTTGTAGGATTGTTGCATAGGCACACACACACATGCCATGGTGGTTTGCTGCATCCATCCCCTCGTCACCTACATCAGGCATTTCTCCCAATGTTATCCCTTCCCAACCTCCCCACCCCCTACTGTCCCTGCCCTAGCCCCCCCGCAGACCCCAGTGTGTGACGTTCCCCTCCCTGTGTCCATGTGTTCTCATTGTCCAACATCTGCTTATGAGTGAGAACGTGCAGTGTTCAGTTTTCTGTTCTTGTGTCAGTTTGCTGAGAATGATGGTTTCCAGGTTCATCCATGTCCCTGCGAAGGTCATGAACTCATCCTTTTTATGGCTGCATAGTATTCCATGGTGTATATGTGCCACATTTTCCATCTTTGTGGTCCAGCTGCTCTTCTTACATGGAGACTTCCCTTCCGAAAAAGGAAGGGAATCTAAGTTTGCTTATTAAGAGAGAAATTTCTTGTTCGTGACGAGAGCACGAAGCTTTAAAAAAGAGAGAGACTTAAGTTTCAGAAACTTGGTTCCTCAATACTGCTGGTGGACCTGAAGTTGTCAATGTCATAACTAAAGACTGGGAAAAGGCAACTTAAGAACGGATGGCTGTGGGCAAAGCCAAGCATCCTGGTTTAGCGCCCCCTAGTGGAAGAGGGGGGCAATATTTATGGTCCCTGCTTCCGGTTAGCTAAGGAACTTAACCACTGGAATTCTGTGAAAGATCATTTCTCTAAGCAGGAATCAACTCAAGCTCTGATCCTCCCTAATAGCATAACTATTTGGCACACATCTAGCCAACTATTAATTAATGCTGCTTCCACAGGGAAAGAGGCCGTGGTCAGACCAGCCTTTAATGAGCATCCCAGGGCCTGGCCAGACTTTGAGGGAAGGAGCATATTGAGATATTAGACAAAGCTCAAAAACAATAGGTGCCTGCGCCCTCTAAGTAGCTCATGTATTACAGGTCTGACAAGTCTCATTGATTTAAATAGCTAGAGCACTGCTTGGATTTTAATCTCCTTCACCCTTATACCAAGGAGGTCGCTGTTTAAATGCTTTTACTTAATAATGTAAACACCTGTCACACGCCAGGGGCAAAGCTATTAGGGAGGAGGATTATTTAAAGCAACGCTCCTGAATACAACATTGCTATTATTGTCTTATCCTCCGTTGCCAGGGTCTGAGCAGGACTTGCTTTTTTAAGACTAGAGACAGTGGCCAAGACACCTAGTGCTCTGTCCCCTAACACCCAGATAGAATAGGCATCTGCTCACATACTGTCATCTGAATGTCCCTAAATATCTGATCTGCCAAGAGTGTTGTACTCAGCGCATGTCTACCAAAATCCCTTGTTAAAGTGGAAAGCTGTTTCCATAGGGGCTATTAGGACTGTTATCCTTGTAGCTACAAGGCACCAGGAACTAAACTCTTCACAGTTAGTATCTCTTTTGTAGCTACAACAACCCTGTGATTTAGTGCTGTTGTTAACCCCACAATGTGAAGAACAGAATGGGTAAGTAACTTTCTCAAGGACTACACAGTATTTAGCAGAAAAAAGGATTCAAACCTAGGATTGGCTTCAGAGTATGTGCTTTTAGGCACTATGCCATATTGTCTCTAACTATACACACACACACACACACATAAACACCAAGGAGATATATATATATATCTGGATATATAGATTTTTTTTGAGACAGGGTCTCACTTTGTCACCCAGGCTGGAGTGCAGGGCCACGAACATGGCTCACTACAGCCTCGACCTCCTGGACTCAAGCAATCCACCTGCCTCAGACCCCTGAGTAGCTGGGACTATAGGTGAGCACTGACATGCCTGGCTAATTTTTGTACTTTTTTGAAGAGATGGGGTTTTACCATGTTGCCCTGGATGGTATCAAACTCCTGAGCTCAAGCAATCCACCGATTTTGGCCTCACAAAGTGCTGGGATTACAGGTATGAGCCACAGCACCCAGCCTTATATCTGTGTGTGTGTGTGTGTGTGTGTGTGTGTGTGTGTGTGTGTGTGTGTGGCTGTGGCTGTCATTAGGACTCATTAGTTTACCACATAAGCCTGTCACATGGCAAGGCATGGAAAGTAGAAAACGTCCTCTTCAAAGTTTCATAAGTGTTAGAAATAATAGTTTGTTTTAAAGACTTTCATCAAAGACTTCTTGCTTTTTGCTAATAATTCTTTGTTAAGCCCTATCCTATGTAGCTCTTAGACATGCTTATAGGCACGTAGAACATTCTATATCCTTATACTTTAACCAAGATATCTGTGCTAAATGTGCTCATAGGCATGTCCCAGCTCACAGCCTATGACCCTTCCTTGTTTGGATTTCTTCACTGTTTTACCTGTTTAGAAAAGTTTTACGTTATTAGCCAATCACGTTTTAGTTTAGATTGTGAGGCCTGGCCCCAACCAACTGAGATCAGACACAGCAGTAAGGATAACCCCAAATGCCTAAGGGATAAATATGGTCTGCTTTTCTTTTATTTGTTGTACTCTCTTGGCAAGGTGGCTGGCAAGGGTACCCTTCCTACAGGAAGTCAAAATTGCCTTGCTGGGAGATCCTTTGTCTCAGTGCTAATTTTTCTTTGTGGCACCAAGGATCCGTTTCCAATGCAAGGTAAAAGCCTAGAGGAATGGCACAGAAGAGAGTAGAAATGGGAAAAAAACAGAATCTAGAGGGTGAATGGGTAGGAGAGCCTGAGGGTGTGCCCTAGAGCCTGGACCGGGGTCTTTGGAACAGAATATGGGCATCAGGAGGCCCCGGAGTTAGGACCTGCCAAAACCACAGATGTGAGAGCACTGCCTATAACCTAGCAGGGAGGAAGGATCATCCCTGCCTCCTCTCTCTCTCTTCCTTTACCCAAGCTGATTCATCCAAGAGGCATGCTTGAAGCCAAAGCACAAGCCCTTCCCCCACTCCACCTGCCATCTATGTCTTCTGAATGCTCATCGTAACTGCAAGTCTTGGCAAAACTCATGTCTGCCTGGGACCTGCCAATAGCACCTAAAGCCCTGATGTCATCTAACCAACTGTTAGTTAATGACACTGGCCCTAAGTTGGAGGGCGTGCTAATGAAAAGTGCAGGCCACAGTAGGCACTGGTCTTTATTCAAGTTACTGGTCAGATATTGGTGTGCTTTATTAAATTAAGACAACTCCCTTCCACAAACGTATCTTAGTGATGAAAGCCAATCTGTATAACTTGGTTCAAGCACCTGAGTTCAACAGTAATTTGGTAAGCAAACCCTTTATGACAAAACGGAACAAAAAATTAGAAAATGGTTCATTCATTCATCAAATATTCATTAAACTTCTTTTATATAAGGCACTGTCCGTAGTATTGTAGATGAATCAGAGAATAGGAGCATCACTCTCTCTCCTTGTGTGGAACTTTCAGTTACATGGGAGACAGAAAGCAAATCAGCAAAAAGGGAAAACAAACAGAATGTCAGGTGTTGAAAGAAAATACTCAGAGCCGTGTTTCTCCAAGAGTGATGCCCATCCCGGCAGCATCAGCGTCACTTGAGAACTTGTTAAAACACAGACCTTCATGCCACTTCCAAACCTGGTAAATCAAAAACTCTGGCCATGGGCCCCAGCAACCTGTGTTTTAACAAGCCTGCCAGGTGATCCTGATCTGTGCTAAGGCTAAGGAACCACTAGAATAGAAAGTGAGGGTGGAGAAGGGAGCATCTTTAGGTAATGTCATCAGGAGAGCCTTCTCTGACATTCAAACTGAGACCTTACAGATGAAAAGAAACATGCCTTGCAAGAGTCAAGAGAAAAAATATTCCAGGCACGAGGAATAGCAGGTGCAAAGTCCTTAAGGCAGGGAACATGTTATGGTCAAGAAACGGAAGGGAAAGGGGAGAACACAGTTATTGAAAGGCAAGCTGATGGGTGCAGGGGTCTGATCATGCAAGGACTTAGAGACCTCAGTAAAGAGGATGAATTATAAACCTACACAAATGCCCTAATGAAAGAAACATGGTCCTGTGAGAGCTTATAGCACATGAACCCAACCTAGTTTGTGGGTCAGGAAGAACTTTCCAGAGGTAATGATGTTTGAAGATATTTTTTTTTCCTTCATGCTTATAAGTTCTTAGAGCAGGCTGCTGTAACAAACAAACAAAAAAAAAAAGGTTGACAAGAGAAAAACAAACAGATGTTTGTTTGATTAATGTATATTTCATACATACATGGGAGAAACCCAGAGAATAAGAAACTTTCAAAGAGGTGGCTTTGAATACCAATTTATATAGCATCTTCAACAAGTGACAGTACATTTTTAGATTTCTGACACAAAGGAAAAGAATTCTGAGTCTTTAGGGGCAGCAACTTGTGGGAAGGCAAATAATTGGCAGACAAAGGCTAGTTAGTGAAGCTTGTTAGTCTACGTTCCTCTGGTGCTTTCTCCGGCATGTAAGGATCCAAAGTTGTCTTAGGTGGTTAACCTCTGTTTGCCCACGGAACAAGAAGAAGTGGGATGTCTTTTGTCTTCATAAATTTATGTCCTGATTTTAGGCAAATAGGGAAAGGGCAGGGAGCTTTCCTCCATGTGTTTCTTATTTGCCATCAGCTCACCAATCCTCATGTCAAAAGGCATATTTTGGGGTGGCATATTCTGGTCTCTCGCAGTATCAAGGATAAGTACAAGACAACTAAAAAAGTGGAGGAACCATCAAGTGCAAAGCCCCAGAGACAGGAAAGAGCGTGACACTGTCAAGTGTTTCCATTGTGAAAGCCTTTGAAGTAGGCAAACTTGAATCCTGGACGTCCTGACAAATCCTTCCTGTTTATTCTGTAGCATTCATTGTCTTTGGCCTATTTTACAACTACTGCAAGTTGTAGAAAACTGAGAGTAATACAAATGATTCTCGTCTATAGAAACGCAAATTAATTTTGCCCAGTGACATGCAATTGATTATTGCCCTGGGAATATGGCTAGTTTTGCAACTATTAACAAATTGAGTTCAGCATTTCCTGACTGGGGTGTGTGTGTGTGTGTGTGTGTGTGTGTGTGTGTGTGTGTTCTGAATTCTTCTAACCAGTTGTGACATCTTACTGATTCACTCATTAATCAGTGAACTAGAAAAATCTTTGACACATGTTCATTTTATATTCATACAGGAGTTATAAGTTTACCTTTTTAAAAAAATTATTCTTTAGGAATGTATACAAGGAATTACAAAGAGGCAGTATGGTACCAGATTGCCATACAAATTATAGGACACCCAGCTTGAATTCAGATAAATAATTTTTTCTATAAATATGATCCAAAAATCACATAAGACATACTAAAAGAGTTTTCAGTGTTCATCAGAAGTTGAAACTTCCCTGGGCACCGTGTATTTCTTCTTGCTAAATCTGACAGTGCTGCAGCAAGGTCACTGTGCTCTGTGCTCCCACTGCGGCCCTTATTTGCTTCCGGGTTTGGAAACAGAAAGAACCACCTTTTATTGGTCTTTAGCTCCTTCTCAGAGGCTACATTAGCGTATCTCCTCCTCAAATTTCAAAGCCAAATTTCATTTTGTGTTTTAAAAATAAATTAGCATCAACTGTCGCCCTTACCAAGGGGGCAGGTGCAGCCAGGCCCCTCCCAGGGATACTCCTTCTACCCTGTGCTGCTCCATCACACAGAGCTTGAAAAATTTCCACCAATTCCATCAACACGGAAACTAGTAACTTAGTGCTGTCAATCAGGGGTCCCCAAACCCTGGTCCACAGACCCGTATGGGTTAGGAACCGGCGCACAGCAGGAAGTGAGAGGCATTACCGCCTGAGCTCCGCCTCCTGTCAGATCAGCAGCTGCATTAGATTCTCATAGGGGAATCTAATCTCACCCTGTTGTGAATTGCACATGCGAGAGATGTAGGTTGCGTGCTCCTTATGAGAATCTAACCCTAATGCCTGATGATCTGAGGTGGAACGGTTTCATCCCAAAACCATCCCCCGACCCTTCTGAGGAAAAATTGCCTTCCATGAAACCAGTCCCTGGTGCCAAAAAGTTTAGGGATCGCTGCTGAGACCCAACACTTCCACTATGCTGTAGTGCAGTCCTCCATTGCTTCTACCCAAATGACCAGCTGAGCTAGATGAACAAGAACAACCAAACTGATAATTTTTTTAACTCAACAAACCAGTTGACTTGTTGCATTTCAGTACTCTTGGAAAAACTGTTGTCTTATTTCCCAACTGCCTATGAAAAATTTTCTGACCCACAAGAGTGTGTGAGGTGCCATTTACTCTGAGATCTGGAGACAAAGGAAAAAAGAGAGAGAAAAGAAAGGCAAGCTCCACGGGCGACACACAGATTCTTGGGGATGTCTCTGACCCCAAATACATTCCCCCTTCTTAGCCCCTCATCCCTCACTCTATCCAAAATTGCCTGTTTTTCCCCAGTGAGGCTTTGCAACTTTAGGATGAAACTTTTCTATATTCAAAGCCACCTATTAAAATGCAAATATCTTCCCATAAGAATACCCTAACATCAGCTCACATTTTAGTAGAAATTGACTGACAGGACGTAATATACAACCCAGGCATGTGCGGGGAGACAGAGTAGGAGCTCAGTAAGGGATGCTGAGGGCAGGCAGGAAGGAAACCCCAAGAGAGAAGGAGGGTATTGCAAGTATGTAAGAGGCCTGAAGACATGCTGTAGGCCTCAGACCAATCTTGTAAAACAAAGTCTATAAAAATATAAGGAAAGAGCCTTTTAAATTGGGGGCCAAATGCTTTTGTTATTTCCTCTGTTTTTCCCTATAATGTGATATAACATACCTCTGAAAGGAGATTTTCATGGTAACATATTGTTGACTGGGTAGGCTTCCCGGCAGACTGGCAGCAGAGACATACCTGCAAAACAGAGACTTTCCTCCCCAAAGGCGGTCTGATTGCCAGCAGAAGTTTGATCACACTTTTCCGAGCCCGGCTGGCTCTCAGAGGAATTATCATCACTTTCCGAATACACAAGACGATGAATGTGCCCAGCTCTTCCCGGGATGTAGGAGTGGAAGGCTGGCAGACAAATTCTCTCCAGATTGAATAAATGCTGGGGGGCCGGGGAAAGATCATTGTCCCCAGGAACCATCCTTCCCTCTTTAAGCAATGACTGTGCACACCAACTTTGGTTCCCAACTTCTGTAATATTTCTCTGTTATAAATTGGCAAGCACAGCATGTGGTCAAGGAGCCATTACAAGCCCTCTCAAATGAAATTTTTTTTCCCAGAGACTTAATTTCTTAAAATGTGAGAGTGATTGTTTCTGCGGAAAGTAGGACAGTGTCTTTTTGAGCCTGCCAGACAAAAACAAAACTAAACAAAACAAAAGGCAAAGTCTGCGAGAGGATAACAGGCAAGCAGGCTTCCTTGTGTGCACCTGGAGGCCCCTCTTTCGGCGCTGTGGCTGCCTTAATGAGAACAGATGGCACCGTCGGGAGACAGGCTCGATGTTATACGCCTCCCGCGTCCTGCTTCTGAAACCAGCTTTGAGCAGATCTTTTTTCACTGTGAATTGGCGCTGGTTGTTTAAGCGGTGGCCTAGACGTGTGCCAGAAAGCAGGATGTTCATGCAGAAAGCAGGATGCTAATACATTCACGGCTGCCTCTTGCAGAACTCAAAGCCCTTTATAACAGAGCAGGTGAAGTCTTCAGAAGGCCCCGCTTCAAGGATGGAGGAAGAGGCTGCCATAAGCAGCCTGTAGAAGGTGACTCACCTAGTCACTGTCAGAGAAGAAACACCACCCTGAAATCCCTATTCTGTGATTCCAGCTGCCTAATGCTACCACGTGGCTGCAGCCCGAGACCCTCCCCGTGCGGGGTCCAGAAGGTGGGAAGGCAAAGATTCCACCTGCAGGTTAGGAAGTTCTGAAGGAGCTGAACCTGAATGTGGTAACTCTGGCTGACCACCACTCATCCCCCAAGAGCTAGAAGTCACCGCCTCTGTTCAGAAGCTGTTTCTCATAGCCTAATGCCTGACCTCCTGATCTGGGGCAGACGCAGATAAGCTCCCGCAGCAGTATCCACAGAATGAAGGCAGAGAGAGCTCAACATTAGGAAACTCTGGCATTTTAAACTCTGCATTTCACAAAAGTGGTTTTGTTGTCATCATAATTACCCAATTTAAATTACCTCTATTTTCAGGTTTCAAGAAGTCATAAAGAGAGAAAGGAGAGACTTTCATGGTGAGAAATGAGAAATGATGAGAAGAAGAGGCAATCTGTGGAGTCGAGACTTAAAGAGGAAAAATGTTTCCGGAGTCAGCTGCAGCCAAGGTGCCTAAAAATGAAAGAGAAGAAAGAGAAGGGGCTCTCGGTGAGTGGACAACGCACACGGAAAAGGAATGGAGTTTGGAACACAATCTTCCAGTTCCACCAGAGGAAGACCCAAATGAAGTTATCCAGAGGAATTTTTGCTTGGTGGTCAGGTGTGGGATTCTAAAATGAGCATAGAATCATGTCGTGGGGGTTTGTTTTTGGGGGGGTGTTTTTTGTTTTGGGTTTTTTTTTTTTTTGAGACGGAGCCTTGCTCTTGTCGTCCAGGCTGGAGTGCAGTGGCACGATCTCAGCCCACTGCAACCTCTGCCTCCAGGGTTCAAGCGATTCTCTTGCTTCAGCCACCTGAGTAGCTGGGACTACAGGTGTGTGCCACCACGCCTGGCCCGTGTTGCTTTGTTTGCCTGAGAGTGGTGTTCACAAAGGTTGGGGATAAATACTCAGAACTCAAGATTTCTTCCTCATCTTTACAAAATAATAAATGCCAAAACCAGGAGGCATAGGAGAAAAGATGACAATAATTAGCCAGTGTGCCCTTGCAAATCATTAATTGACTAACCCAATTATAATATATAACAGAACACCATAATCCATTACATATCATGTAATCAAGGAATATTCAAATATATTCAAAGATTTGTGGAATGCTCCTAATGTGATTTGAGAGACAAAGCAAGTCACAAAGCAGAATATGAAGTAGGATTCCTAATTTTGCTTTTAAAATGTACCTACATATAAACACGATAAAGAAGTAAATACACTTACATTCCATAATGGTTGCATCGGGATGAGAGAGTTACAGGTGATCTTTAATTTCCTTTACATTTTTCTAAATCATATATCCTGCGCCTTTTCTAAGCACAGAAAAAGAAATTAACATGTAATTTAAAATTTCTAATATTTGTACAGGAAAGCCTCTCCAGTGAGCATTTCTGTGTGAAGGGACCCCAATAATCCCATGCATACCCATCCCCCAGATTCATCCAGGGTGGAGCTCAGGCGCCACCTGTAGTATTATATCTTCTCTCCCATTGTCCTTGAAAAATTGTCTCTTCAAGGGTCCTTAAGGATTCTGTGGAGTTTTCAAAGGTTGAAATTACATATTAGTCCACAGTTTCATACCCCCCAGCGTCAATAACCGTGTCTGACACAAAATAACTGCTCAATAAATGTTCATGGTTTGGATAAATAACCAACCAACCCCAAATTCCCCAAGTGAGATTAGCACATTTATAGCTTAGCCCCTCCTGTGTTAATAAGATCCAGAGAAATGTCACAGCAGCAATACACAGCGCTGCTTTATTTCACTTCCTGCTTTTCGGAGGTGCCTTTGATCCCTGCATGGTGTGAATCATCACATCCACGTCTACCCCATATCACTCAGCAAAGACATGATCACCAAGTTTAAAAGTGCCATGTCATGGAGCCCATAGTGAACCTGGACTGATTCAAGGGTGAAACCATGTTGATTCTCTTGACCACCTGTGCCATCTTGTAACAGGGGAGCTTATCCAGCTCCCAGTTCGGAAGAGGTTCTTAGCCTCGGTAACCCCGAAGAACGGGGAAAAGCGCCCAGGAGGGGTAGTGAGTTTGCCATTGGAATAAATAGTTGGACCCAAAGAGTTTTGCGGAAAAGTGATTTATTAGAGAGAGAGAGAGAGAGAGAGAAAGACTGCTCCCATGCTGTTGTGGGAGGGGACCCAGAAAAGGGATCCGTATAGGTAAGGAGCAGCTGGAGTTTTAAAACCCTTGAGTTAGTCCCTCCCCGTTCATTTTCTCGTCCAATGAGAGGAGTTCTTTCAAACGTCCTCTGGAGTGATTGATCTTTGACTCTGATACAGTACTGGATTGGCTACTTGGTTCACAACTCTCAGTTACAGAGCCCCCTCCTCCCAGAGCTTTCAGAGGGTTTTTGGGGACAAAGGAGCTTCACCCGGCTTTCCCTACCTAGCCCGCACGCACGAGGAAACCCAAAGAACTTTGCATTTGAAACCCCTCTGGTTCCCGATGGAGGCGTGGAGCCGGGAAACTCCTGCCTTTGAAACCAGGCCTCTCACGGCCCAGGAAGAGAAGTCCCTCAATCTCATCCTCAGCCTTACACTGGGCATGTGGGTCTGATCAAGATGCCTGGCCCCGGGCATCTGTCCTCTGGGCACCATGCTTTACGTAAAGTATTAATTCAGAATCTCAGTCAGGATCACCAGGAAGCCAAGCCATCCAGTCTAATGAACGCTGATGAAGGGCCAGGCCCTGGGAAGACAAAGCAGAATGCTTACTGCCATATAGCTCTGCCAACCACTGGCCATGTGACAGATATGGGACATGGCAGGATGCCCAACAGCTGCTACCGGATGAGCTGATGTGAGTGAACCAAGAAAAGCATGGTCAAGCAGAGCCCACCAATACTACCACTACCACTGAAAATCCCCACACCTTTAGGCCCATTAATGCTATTCCCAGAAGTTTATTCTACAGAAACACTCCCACATGTGCACAAAGGTATATGTAAATGTATATTATCACAACAGTGTTTGTTTTAGCAAAAAAAAAAAAAAAATCACAAACAACTTTTATGTCAAGTAATAGACTAGATATATCATGAAATAGTGTCCAGGTGTGAAAAGAACAGTTAAAGCTCATCTAGCATTCATATAGCATTTGTTGCAGGCTCTGTTCTAAATGTGTTACATGCATTAACTCATTTAGTCTTCCCAGCGTCTTAGGAGGCAGGTTACCTACATTAACCCCATTTCACAGGTGAAAAAACTGAGGCACAGAGCCATTAAGTCAGTTTCCTGGGATCACGCCGCTAATAAGTGATGGATCCAGGATTCAGGGCAGAGGTTGAATGGGTCCAAAGTCCACACCATTTACAGCACATCGTAAAATACCAAACTGTGAGCAGGACCTGAAGTCAGATGTATATCTAGTGCAACACACATCATCCACCAGCAAGAATGAGATCAGTTTTAATATGCTGGTATAGAAAGATACATACAAGGTATCGTGGAGTGGAAAAAGTGACTTGAAAAACAGCATACACATTCCCAGTTTTACTTTTAAAAAATCTAGACAAAAATAAATGCATAGACAAGAGACATCTGAAGGTACTCACCAGACTGCTGAAGGTGGTCTCCTCTGGAAAGGACCTGGAAAGGACTTAGAGAAGCTAAGGAAGTATCCTAATTTATCTCTGACTCTTCTGTGTTGTTTGAATTTTATGAGCATGGATTCCTTCAGTAATTTTGAAAAGAGAAGAAAATTAACAAAGAAGAAAGCAAAACCCAGAGAAGGCCGATCAAGCAGAATGTGTAGGTAAGGACAGATTATGGTGTCCAACCTCTGATAGAGCGGTTTCCTTCACACACACAAAAAAAAGCAGAGTCACAAAGTATACTACTTAAGTACCTGGGTCCCAGATAGCTGTGTTATGGGCCATCCGTGTGACAGGTGACATCCCATTTTAGTTCCAGGTCACCCAGCAGTTACTTGGCATATAGAACAATATGACTTTGTAGAAGTGCTTGGGGTTAGCGATCAGAAGGTCTAGGTTAGAATTCCGGCCCTACCTCTCACAAGCTATATAACTTTGGGCCCCTTAGCTCTTTCAGCCTCAGTTTTGTCTTCTGTAAAATACACAGAGTAACATCTACTTCACAATGTTGTTCTGAGAGTAAATGAGAAGACATGCAGTGTCAAGCTCAGCGGACGTCACTTCACAGCCCTGTGATTGATGTGAGTTAAAGGTCACTCCATTGGTCATGGAACAAGACCAGAACCCAGTCTCCTGACCCCAATCCAATGTTCTTTCCATTCATCCACATTGTCCTCCTCTCTGCTCATTGTCTGTGCTCGGACTGGAAGAGGCAAAGAGATGGTTATGGGGCCGTGTTCAAAATGTCCTTGGATCTGTGCTCCTCAGACCTCTAACCAATGATTACCAGAAAGTTTTTTCTTGAAAAAAGCTACAAGCACTGGGAACTTCTGTTTCTAGGCCAAGGAATAAGTTTTAGAAGACTCAGTGGTTAATACTGTGCTCAACCAGGGCACCTCCTGACCACGCTTTTTGCAGTTGTCCCACTATGCCATGTGGCTTCATTGTATCACAGTGACGGAGTCCCTTAATCTTTCCACCTCGATTTTCTCATCTGCAAAACCGAGGATGGTGAATAATTTGTGCCTGCCTTCTCACAAGGTTGTTGAGAGGATCAAATGATAGAGATAAACATCTATGACAGTTGACTGACTGTTCACCACTATTCATTCTCCCCTTCTATTCCCTGGCAATGATGCCCCAAACTCTAGCTAAACACACCTTGTCCAACTACAGACTGCTGTTCCCAGGCTTTACTGCAGCTAGATATGGCCAAGTAGCCAATTACCTGCCAGTGTGATGCAAAGAGAAATGATCATCAACAGCTTTCAGGCCATGCCTTTGTAAGGGTACTGTTGGTTCAACTTTCCCTTTCCACTTTCCGTCAAATTGGAAGTTGGACATGGTGGTAGTGAGTCATCTTTGACTCTAGATGGTAGACGAAGAAGATGGAAGGTATCTGGGTCCTGTAAAAACTCATAAAGCAGAGCTGCCTACCACCTACCACCCTTGGACAACCTGCCAGCTCAGACCTCTATGAGAGAAGAACTCATCCTCTTATTTTATTAAATCCACTATTACTTTTGGTGTTGTAATATCTAACCAATATCCTAACTATTGCAACATTCTATGACTATGTAAACTGCCATGCCAAGACCTTATACTGTGATTATTGTTAATTACATCTGCCAGCTTGATTTAATAAGCCATGTTGTCACATAGCAGTCACCATCTTACTCACAGGATCACAATTTCTGCTTCTGTAGGTCCTATAGGTTACACAACTATTCATTCAGAGTTCTTACAT